TCCGCGCGCAACAACGAACATGAAGTGACACTACAGAAAATGTGTACAGTAAAGTCATTAATGTCGATGATGTAAAAAGCGAACTGAAAGTCACGCAACGTTGCGTGACTTTCAGTTCGCTTTTTACATCATCGACATTAATGACTTTACTGTACACATTTTCTGTAGTGTCACTTCATGTTCGTTGTTGCGCGCGGACGTTGGCGTTGCTGTCGGAAATTAATCCACCATTTCACTGATTTCTCACTATACTCGTTGTTGAACAAGGTTTCTTGAAACTGTTCACGTTGATATGCAAGTAAAAGATGTACGTTGTGTCGAGGGTAGGCATTGGACGGATGCTCTTGTTAAGGCTAGTTTTGCTGCAAATAAACGTCATATGTATCTAGACTAACACCTCTGAAAAAAGGGGGGGGGGTCGTACCGAACCCCCAAAAAAGGGGGGGGGTCGTACAGGCTCGACCAAAATCCCCATCGAATGCTGTGCCCTGATGGGCTTTCGCTGTTGCTATTTATCCTTGCTAAGGACACAATTACATAGGGTCTACAGATCGACGCTCCATGGACTTTTCTCTATGCTGACGATATTCTCCGTAGACGTCAGTAAGTGGGAACTACCGCCCCAGACGGGTTCAATGACCGTCTCACCCTTTACGGCCTTCGCCTCGATATTAGAAGAACGCTGAACCCAGAAACAATACCATCCAGGGCAACCACGAAGATTCACCAGATACCATCTTTCTCCAGATACCTGGGATCCCATCTGCTAATTAATGGTGGTTTCGATGGCACTGCACGAATGAAATCGATGCAACTCGGAGCGTTGCCTAGCTTCTCTGCACCCCTCTATACCTTTTCTCCTCTTCTAACTCTTGTATTTCCAGTCTATTGTAATTTACTTGACATCTTCCTTGTTGGTTTAGAAACTGCTTCTGTTTGACCCCGCCCGTAGTAGGGTAAAGAAAGACTTCTCAAAAGCCCTTCACACTTGAACCGCATTTGAGCCTCTCTAACCCATTTGGGCCTCTCTAACCTCAACTAAAGGAGTGTTGTTGTTAGTCATTCCATAGAACTTCCTTTAAAGACAGCCCCCGCGCTCGAGTAGTACATGGTCGTCCTTCCTTGTGCAAGTAGTACAGCCCCCAAGCTAGAGACTGTCCCACTCTATTCGTCTGCACAGCGAGCGAGAAGCGAGCTACAGCCGCTGTAAGTTCTAGTTCTAACGCCTGCTCAGTTGGACCGCCTTACTTGCTAGATGTCCTCCGACGGAGGCCACTCAGTTGTTCTTAGTTGGGGCGGCGGGCATTGCTAATGCCCATGGATAATTCTGCTCCCCTTTATTACAGTTTACTCATTGGAGGTATATACATTCAATTCAACTCATTTCGCGAGGTGAACACGAGTGACGCAATTTTCGTGATGCAAAACCTCGACGCACAAAACGTGCGCTACCGTAATCCCAAATTCAGACACCGCGTTGATAAAATTCCTTTTTCCTTCCAAGAGTTTTTCCTTCCGTGTTTTTGTTGTTTTCCATATTCTTTTTTGCATTGGATGATATCCATTACTGGGAGATGCGAAAGGGATTTGTGAGCCAGGGGTTGCACAGAGACCGCAGGGAGGTGTGACTGTGAGGGAGCGATTTTATGTTGTTCTGGAGGACGCTTCTTGCCTGTTTTCTTCTTTGGGAGATTACTTATCAGCTACTGTTTCATAATTGGAAAGCAGCTATCCATGAGACTTTTATCGCGGGAGCTGTCTTTAAAGGAGCATAAGCAGTGCGACGGCAGTTAGTGCTAAGGTTTCTAGAAATGCGATCCTGAAGGCAGCATTTGGTAGAATCGGAACCTACATGACTACCGTATCCGACAATGAACACATAAAGCTTCGCCTTTTTCCGTCCGCTATGACGATGTTTACTCGGTGCATGAGTCGACGAAAATCAACGCACCTCCAGTGGAAAATTGGCGCCTTCTTAGGTTACAAAGACATAGGGTATATAATGTCACCATCGTAATTGGATGTATGGCAAGCTCTATCGTAAACTTTAGCCGTCAACTTGGTCCATGGGTAAGTATTTTGTAAGGATCAGTTCCGAACTTAGATATTGACGAAGTGACATGCTTAGGTTCTCTTAGCGGCAGAGCAACCCCGATGAGCAGTGTCTACTCGGCTTCTTAGTGATTGTAAACAAGGCCAAAGCAATATTGTTGATTTCCATGGATGGCATAATTGACCGAAGCACCAGCTTCGTAAATGAAACCACTTATCCAGAACTGATCGGCCTTGAGTGTTCATTTTCCCTCCACATCCGAGTTTTGAATCACAATCCCTTCATGCTCACCTTTTCCAGAGATAGAGGCAAAAGACGTTAGATTCATCGATACATTTTGCCTATGACAGCCATTTTGAAGTTCATTAACTGCTTTCATTTCGCCACAACCAAGTATTTACTGCATTCCAGCACTTACTGTTACAAATATCAAACTATTTTGTATAGAGTATGAGGGTTTGTCAGAGCTTTTTCATGTAGAGCTAAAACTAATTGCGTTCTTGCCAAGCAGAATAAAAAGGTTTAGTTGAGGACAGGAAGTCTCGAAGTTCTCACGCCAAGTGGATAAGGAATATCTACTCCGAAAAGACCTTTTGCCGCAAGCTTCAGCTTGACAAAGGTATTTTAATGCGCTTTTCGCTCATACTACGCCGTACAGGTCATGAGCGAACCCTTACCCTCAACTCGACGACAGCTTCCTCTGGAAAAAAGTGGAGAATATACGAAAAGCAAAAATTCAAAAAATTTTAGACGATGGCAGTTAGGATGGGTCGTATAAGGTGGGGAGGGGGGACTTCTGAGGGGTTCGTATTTTGCAAGCATCCAGCCCAACGGTAGAGGGTGCCTTGAACACAGGCTTAGTCCAAGAGGAAGATAGGATGGAAGGTTTGATAAGTCTAGGCAGACCCGATGTAAACTCGTTTGAACCAACAGCAGCGGCTTCTGCTATTGTGATTTCTATGGAGGCCAACCTTACATCGCAACCTAAGATCACAGGATTGAGAATGGACAAGAATCTCTACTGTTCACAGTTCGCTCATAAAAACCTAAGCTTTCCACTATGGGTATAGTATTTAAGACTACAACAAGAGGAAATTGGAATCGGTTCGAACAAAGGGCTATCGTCGGATAGGAACTTATCCAAGCCCCTCGCATTTGGTCGCTGAGGGGGAGGGGTCGTATTTTTCTTTGAGGAAAAGTCTCCTCCCCCGCGACTGTAGTATACTGAGAAAACTGGGGCATTTTCGGGGAAAGAAGCTGGGAAGTGGTGAGAATTTGGAAGAATTCAGGAAGATTGCAGGTAGGATGGGAGACGGGAGATGGGAATCGCATCCGAGGGACATTGTTGAGGGGCTGGGTCGTAATTTGCAAAATTTCTTTAGATGGAATATGCCCTGTTTGCACTCGACCTTCTTAACTTCCTAACTGTTAGTATCTATCAGTGCAATGGTCGAATTAGCTAATATTTCTTGGTCAGCCTGTTTCTTTGGTACAATGAGTATCAGTGATCATCTCGATGGAAAGCTTGCACTGAATAAGTATAGATTTTATTCCGTGGTTAGTTCCATGTTCAGGACGGAATTCAGTGGCTACAGTACCGTGTCAAGTGTGCGGTGATCGATCCTATGGTCGACACTACGGTCAGTGGACTTGCGACGGTTGCAGCTGCTTCTTCAAACGGAGCATTCGAAAAAGTATCTTCTACACCTGCATCTGTCAGTCTTCCTTATCAGTCATTCTCTAGTGTGCCACGGGCTCTTAACAACAACAAATAGACTCACAAAATTTTTTAAATTAAAAAGAGACAACCTTCTGTATTCAGCTGGACAGAATGATTGTGTGATTGATAAGGCCCGTCGAAACTGGTGTCCGTCCTGTCGCTTGGCCAAATGTTTCCGACTAAATATGAACTCTAAAGGTGACATCATTTGAAATTCCATTCTTGCGGAGATTCTTTCAGATCCCAGTATATTTTAGCCGTGCAGGGAGAAAGAGGACCACGATCTGCCCCGTCAACTGTACTTTCGAGGTCTTCTTCACAAAAGAGGCTTGGTCTGCAAAGTGCGTTTCGAGCCTTTTTCCAATAATTTCTTAACAGACCTCGCATGACAACAAAGCGCGAGACACTTCTTATCCTGGAGCTAAGGAGGTACTAGCCGCCTATTTCATATGAACCAGGAATTTGGCTGGGATTTTGCCGTCTTGGCACAATTGTAATCATGATTTTATCCGGCACAAGGCAATATGATAGTTGTATTCATAGTTGCCTCGCAAAAAAAACCATCTTACGACATGTTCGAGTGTAGAACGCCGCTACGCCTTCCCCATTTCCGGGATATAGAAACTAGTTTTTCAATGCAATAAATCTTCTTTTTACTTGCGCCAGCTGTGGGGGAAAGGTTTTACTATCTTTCATGACGATGGACGGAAGTCCCACAGGTCTCCCAGCTGACTGTTAGAAGCCGCTTCGCAACTGGTCTGTAGCTGCTTTCGTTGTTTGCGGCAGCGTCCACCAGCGGCCAATAGCGTCCTACCAGCATTTCGTGCGTCCTGCAGAGTCAGCGACCAGGAAGTATAGATATCGTTCTAGCATTCGGCAGCATCTACCAGCGTCTACCGGCGACCAGTCGCACACTGCTGGCAAGGTATGAGGCGATAGGAGGGAACCAGCTGTCTGCTAATCTCTTATCTTCCTGACTATACCAGCTGTGTGCTACCCTCCTGTCGCCTCATACTCTCCACTCCCACTGTAGATCGCTGGTAGACGCTTTCGCAAGATCAGTTCATATATATACTTAATTAGCCCTCGAGATGCTGCTGGTCGCTGTTGGACGCTGGCAGACGCTAGATCGATATCTATACTTTCCTAGTCGCTGACGCTGCCGGACGCTCGGAACGCTGGTGGACGCTGCCGCAAAGTATGAACGCAGCCTCACGCGCTGTACACGCCTCCACCCGAATCGACAAGGGTCTGCAGTCGTTCTTATAACGGAGGCGTGGAGGGCACCAGTTCTGCCAAATTCAGACTTTAGCGTTTTTCTCGCTTTTTCACTCTCCACTCTCACTCGTTTTTCTCATAGGAGAATTCACGGTTACGTGCAGGTGCATACCGCCTGGATGTTGAATGTGCAGCCGCAAGCATAGTTCGCTTTTAAACCGTGCACTCGCACGGTTTAAAAGCGAACTATCGGTAAAGCGATAAATAAAGGATAAAGTCTTCGCCGTTGATCAATCCCTTTGTGGGATGCGGCACGCATTCTACTTCCATTCAGAATCGTAGTGGCTTATTGAATGCGATGTGGCCTATACAATGACTTGCGGGGGCCAGCCGATGTACAAGTCAGTGTTTTATCCTGGTACCAATTTACCGTCCCCGGAGGGTAGAAGGCTTGGTTGGCCTGGGCGGGAGTCGACCTGGGATTCGAACCCAGGACCGCGCGAGTGGTAAGCGCGCCTTTGTCACTACACCACCTTTTTGCATTTGATAGAATGGATAATTCCGTCACAGTGGTCGGGATACATTTCGACTATATCGTCAGCATGCCCCTACCACTCGTTTTGCTCTTTCCCACGTCTTACTAGTGATCTAAAAGGTACATTTCTAAGCAGCGCCATGCAAATTTGCCACTTGCTCTTTTCTGAATGTCCAAATCAACGGTGGTGGAAACAGAATAGTGCACGGCGACACGCTGACTCTAGGCTTGCAGCCTCGTAGTCACTGCCGATATGGGCTAATCGGCTCGTCACCTCAAACGTATGAGAGATGTGAAGCTGCGGCACAGAAGTTGTTAACTGAAAGGGTAAGAGACGGCCCTGCTGGCGTAAACGGATAGCGCAATCACCCGCTAAGCACGAGGTGTGGGTTCGAGTCCCATCCAGGGTTGTCTTTTGTGCACAACTCAGCATTTTCAAGACAACCTTCATGTAGTCTAGGACTAGCGATGCTCAAACATATTATGTGCAGGGTGAACTAGGAGCCTGGAATTAGGAGTGCAATGTTACGGGCGACGAGGGGGGGGGGCATTTGCACTTTTGCTATACTTCCCATCGACGTGTCGACCTATCTAGACAGCCTCTTCTCGAGTTGACAGGTTTACCATGATGGCTTGACGACCTTGCTCCAGCTTCACAAGAGTTCACAGGTTTCGCCAGAGTGAGACTTGTAAACCGGAACTAGGGAAGCAGTGATTGTACAAAATGCCCCCACCCCCGTCGCCGAACTGCGCCCATGGTCATGTTCAACAAGGCTCATTTCGCATCTGCACACAGACAAGATTACAAGAACAGTGAAGAAGAGGAGAAAGTCTCTGCCGTTGATCAATCCCCTTGTGAGATGCGGCACGCATTCTACTTCCATCCAGAATCGTAGTGGCTTATTGAATGCTACGTACAAATGTGACGTACCTATACAATGAGTTGCGGGGGCCAGCCTATGTACAAATCAGTATCCTCCCAAACGAATCTGGTACCAATTTACCGTTCCCAGGGATGAATGCTTACTTAGCCTGAGCGGGTTCGACCCGGAATTTTAGAAGCCCGCGGACTGCGCCGAAGTGCGCGCCCTTGTCTACTACACACCTACGCCTTGTCAAAAATAATTACCCATAAATTACATGCCACAGAACGTTTAGTTGCCACCACCATCTATGAAACAAGGATCCAGTCAAGAGCCGGCCAATGCACTAGATCATTTTCCCAACGGAATAATTTGGTCATGACAAGGATTTCATCCCGGCCGCGTGCACATCCATCATCTTGTCAGTATGGGCCAACCGAGTATTTTGCCATTTTCCTCTTCTCATTTTCAACCAACGATACGGAAAATTCGTCCAATATGGGGCGAGAATCGCGGGCGCACATCTGGAGAACTATTACGAATCCTCATTTTAAACTGCAGAAATCAGTCTTATCTTCGGTGTCTACTGAACAAGAAATTTCAGGCCCAGAAGGTAAACGACCGAAGAGGGCCACTACAACAACAATGGATGATTTATTCGTGGCTGCGATGTTCGCTGTGAGTCAATCTGTACTGCTCTCCTTCAGTAGCGGTGAAGAACGACGAGCAATACTCATTGAACGATATCCGATGTTTTTTTTTTTTTTTTTTTTTTTTTTTTTTTTTTTTTTTTTTTTTTTTTTTTTTTTCGCGGTTAGCCTCCGCCACCGCCGATGCGGAAAACCAGTTGCATTATAGTAAGTGACGCTAGCAGCTTGATTACTTGCCGCGACACCACGCGCGTGTCAGGGAGGCTGGGTTTGGCGCGCGGCGCCAGTTCGTTCTCCAGTAATTGTTGGTGCAGGAAAGCAATGACGGTCGATGGAAGACGAGCTGACACCGCGCAGAATCTAACCCACTGACACCAAGTCAACGATGTAGTCCTTCGAGGTATCCCAGCCATGGAGGGAGAGGGGAAGCGGAGCAGTCGTCATTGCAGCTAGTACATTCCCCGACTGATTGATCGGTGGTTTACTAGACTGGAGAAATTGTCTTCAGGTTTGTATGGGTTTGTAAAGGGGTCAGCTTCAAATATCCCCGGGCTTTCCAGACCCTGATAGAGAAGCAGCCGAAAAATAATACAACTTGCACCAATCTTAGAAAGATTCATAAAGAGTATTCCCTTCGACAACTCGATCTTGAGCTTAACCTAAGATTACACGAAAGCCGATCGTGGAATATATGGTGCTACAACTACGTGCTCAAAACGCCATCCAACAAAAACAGTAGTGGAGGTGAGCACGGGGCAATGGACCGGGACCATAAGCTCCAAAGAAGAGCTCGGCGCAAGCGAAAACCCTTCTAACGTCAAAGCAACCGACCTACACTTTGGTTAAGAGAAAGTAGCGACGTCGGGCAGGAACAGTGAACAGAATGGGATTAACAAAGAAAAAAAAATTAGGCTGAAACAAGGGGTGTCTCCATCCAACTTTCTACCGCACCAGGTGAGCAAGAAACTAAGCAGCGCGGTGTCAATAGGGACCCCTAATGTGCAGATTACGATCAGGCTCACTGAAGGCGTTTTCGAAAATTGCCTACTACTATTGTCTACTGCTTGGTGAATTATTTCCCATTTGTCAACATTCGGCAGGCAGGGAGCAATCGGCTCTGACATTAGTTGGGAAAATGCCTTTTGTAATTTATCCTTCTTGAAAGAAGGTTTTAGCAGCTTCACGAAGTTTAATAGTTGAAGTTTCCTTGGAGTAAATCATGTGAGAAATAATCTATTCGACTATTTTTCTCACGGGCAGTTTCAATCTTTGCGAAACACTGAAATACCTGCATTTAGCATTTCACCAAATGCTAAAATACGCGCATTCGAGTCAATGTCAAGATCTTTTGCGACAAGGAAAGATATAAGAAAATAAAGGAAAGAGAGGAGGAAGAAAGAAAGTTTGTTGGGAGCGCGACTGAGGCCAAACTTATGCCTTCGCCTGCCCTGCACCACTTCATTTCGCTATTACAAAGGGTCTTCGACTTTGCAACAGTCATGAATCTCTACATGAATACGTGTTCAGTCACACAGGCATTTTTTCCTATACAGCTCAGTAAATATCTAGCCCAGATGTGAATAATGAAAGAAAGGCGGAGTTATGTATTACGAATAATTTCGCACCTAAAAAAATTACATCTGCAAAAGAAAGCAGTTATTCTGAACAATATGATTGAACCCCGCTTCATGAGTCCAACGAGCTTCAAGAACCTATGATTCTTAACATTTGTTGAAGGGGAGGGCACGATAATCCGGTGCTCGGTCAAGAAAGATAGCAGGGGTGCAATGAAGTGAGAAATGGCGAAAAATCGAAGTTGAACAGTCAAAATCCTGCGAAAAAAGCCTCTGTTCTTCACGACAATAAAGCAGCTTTCGTACGAGTTTTGCGTTGGCGTCGTGCCAGTAACCGCTATGGTAGGTACAGCCGCATATGTATGTATCATA